GGGGCCTGAGCGCCCTGGGGGTGGAGGTGGAGGCGCCCTGACGGCTGGGGGGGCTGTGCTGGGACGGAACCGGGTTCGGGAATGGCACCCGCGTTCCGGGAGCAATGGACGCGGGAGGAGGCGCCTCAAGGGGCAGAGACGTCGCCGGCTGAGGAGACGGGCCCCGCGGGACAGGATCCGGGTCTCTCTGGCCAGGAAAGTTGGGTGTTCGGGTGAGAGGATTTGGGGCTCCTGTGCAGAGGTTTGGGGTCTCAGGGACAGGCTCCAGGGTTCCGGGTCTCGGAGTTGGGGATGTGGTCTTTCTGGGGTGCCGTGGTCAGGGAGCCCGGGCTCGGGGTGTGCTGGGGTCTGAGCTTTGGGGGATTGAGCGTTCCTCTGGGCGCAGAGACCGGGGGTCCTCCGGGTTAGCGGACTTGGGGTCCCTGGAGGCTGACAGTCCTGGGAGCCTCTCGGGAGGACACCCGGGGTCTTAGAGTGGGGGTGAAGGCCGGCGGCAAAGGGGTTCACACGCGAGGCCCCCGTTTTCCTGTCCGTCTCCGGCCGCGCTGCCCACCTGGCCGAGGTCCCCTCAAACCCGCGCTTCCGCCCCGCGCGCTCCGGTGTGAGGCGGGGCGAGGGGGGAGCTTCCAGCCTCCAGAGCGTCAGCGGGAGCCGCCAATCAGTGCTGCGGTCACGGGGCCCTGCCCGCCAATGGGCGGTCAGAAACGCGGAAAGGGCGGGGCGCAGGGTGGAGCCTTCCTGCCAGTCAAGGGCAGAATCCTGTGGAAAGAGCCCGCCCCCCGCCCCCAACCCCCCGTGGTGATTGGCTGCCCAGGTTCCTGCGAGTGTCTGTCAAGAAGCCTTCAGCCCGGGCGCGGCTAGGCGGTGTCCAGGGCTTGGATTCCTGTGACGTCGCGGAGGGACCCCGGGGGCCGGGAGCCCCCAGCCCCCGCAGGTGTTGGGGTGACGCGGCCTTCCTGCAGCCTGACCGAGTGTCTGTTTCACCCGATGGTATTCAGGGTCCCGGACTGTCTTCCGGGCGCGTGTGTGTTCGCTTCCTTAGCGAGAGGACCAGGCGGTAGGCGGGGAGTTGCGTTCTGGGAAACAGGGATTCCCACTAGACCAGCGGTTCTCAACCTGTGGGTCGCGACCCCTTTGGGGGGTCGAACGTTCCTTTCACAGGGGTCGCCTAAGACCATCGGAAAACACATATATAATTACATATTGTTCTTGTGATTAATCACTATGCTTTAATTATGTTCCTGCATATCAGATATTTACATTAGGATCCATAACAGTAGCGACATTACAGTTATGAAGTTGCAACAAAAATAATTTTATGGTTGGGTCACAACATGAGGAACTGTATTAAAGGGTCGCGGCATTAGGAAGGTTGAGAACCACTGCCTTAAAGGAAGCTGTCAGCCGGGCGCGGTGGCGCGCGCCTGTGGTCCCAGCTACTCGGGAGGCTGAGGCTGGAGGATCGCTTGAGCCCAGGAGCTCTGGGCTGGAGTGCGCTATGCCGATCGGGTGTCCGCACTCACTTCGGCATCAGTATGGTGACCTCCCGGGAGCGGGGGGCCACCAGGTTGCCTAAGGAGGGGTGAACCGGCCCAGGTCCGAGACGGAGTAGGTCAAAGCTCCCTTGCTGATCAGCAGTGCGATCGCGCCTGTGAATAGCCACTGCACTCCAGCCTGGGCAACATAGCGAGACCCCGTCCCCCCCGCAAAAGGAAGATGTCAGCCAATTCCTTTGCAAAAACGATCCTCTGCTGCCCTCTTGTGGCCATTCAAAGAATACCACCTTGTGCTTCTGTCCGTGGTGCTGAAATGTTAGCTAATGTCCTGTGAATTTGATGAAAAATTCTACCCAAAAAACCACAAACAAACAAACAAACAAACAAACAACAAAAATAATTCACAGAAAACCCTACAAAATCATCGAGGCTGTCCAGGGTGCAATTATTCCTTCCCTGGATGGACTGAAGTCACGGGTCTGGCTTTTGCACTCCTTCCCGTCCCAGCCCTGCAAAGGGAGGCCTTGGCTGCTGCACTGACTGGGGAAGCTGTGCGTTCACTAATTCAGTCCGTAACCTAGAGGCTGCCATGATTGGAGTAGTCAGTCCTGGGGCGGCCGCCGTTACCAAGGCAGTCAGTACCGGACAGGTCTCCTTTCCTGAGGCAGCCAGTAACCCGGCGGCCGCTATGATTGAGGCAGCCAGTCCCTTGGATGACACCATTATGGAGGCAGCCAGTCCGTACAGCGAGGTGCAGGGGTATCGGGAGAACGTGTTATTCCCACTAGACTCAGCGGCCTCTGTAGGGCATTACTGAGGCAGTCCTTCCCCTGGAGGCTGCCATTATTGATGCAATCAGTACCAGGGAGGCTGCCATTATTGATGGCACCTCCAGATGCAGGGTCATCATGGGAACGTGTTAGTAGCGAGAAAAAAAATTCAACGTAAACTTTTGTGTTGAAACCCAGTGTATTTTAAAAAAATATATTTTTATTGATTTCAGAGATGAAGGGAGAGGAAGAGAGATGGAAACGTCAATGATGAGAGAGAACCATGCATCAGCTGCCTCCTGTATCCCCCCCCTCCCCACTGGGGATCGAGTCCGCAACCCGGGCGTATGCCGTGACTGGGAATCGAACCAGGGACCCTTCAATTTGCAGGTTGACACTCTCCCCACTGAGGCACACAGGCCAGGGCCACAGTGGGTTTTTTAGAAATATACATTTCTACTATTTCAGAAAGGAAGAGAGAAAGATCAATGGTGAGTGATCATCCTAGATTGGCTGCCTTCTGCCAGAAGAAAGAGTGACATGTGTTCTCATCTGCCAGCTAAGTGGAAGGAATAGGCCTGGCCAGCATTGTTTGCTGGTTAGACCTTTGGATGCCCAGGGAAGTGTCGCTGGTGGGATCCCTGGTCCAGAGCACATACCTGGGATGCAGGTTTCATGGCCAGCCCCGGTCTGGGCTCCTGTGGGAGCCAAAGATCCATGTGTCTCTTGCATATTCATGTTTACTTTTTTGTTTCTTGTCTCTCTCCTCCCGGCCTCCCTCCCTCCCTCCCTCCCTCTCTCTGTAAAAAACATATGCTCTGGTAAGAATTAACGAAAACATACACAAGAAAAAAGTACAAAGAAGGAAAAGATTTGGAGGGTCCTGAACATGCTCCCCTCTACTGCCTTGTGTCACTGCTCCCAGAGTCACCCACACTGAGAAGATGCGAGCAGACTCCCCCGTTGTCCAAGACCGAGGGACACACAGACTGAGGGACACAGAGACCGAGGGACAGACAGACCGAGGGACACAGAAACCGAGGGACACACAGACTGAAGGACACACA